AACCCTCATATTGCTCCTTGTAGCTTCACAGATATCCCCGTGACTGGTCACAGCAGTGTGTAAACCCTCATGTGCTCCTTGTGGCTTCACATGATATCCCCGTGACTGGTCACAGCAGTGTTGTAAAGCCCTCATATTGCTCGCTTGGCCGCTCCACAGATATCCCTGTGACTGGTCACGGTAGTGTGTAAACCCTCATATTGCTCCTTGTAGCTTCACCAGATATCCCCGTGACTGGTCACAGCGGTGTGTAAACCCTCATATTGCTCCTTGTAGCTTCACATGATATCCCCTGTGACTGGTCACAGCTGTGTGAGTTCATCTCGCCCTCACAGTACACTTTGTAGCTTCACAGATATCCCCTGTGACTGGTCACAGCTGTGTGAGTTCATCTCTGCCCTCACAGTACACCTTGTAGCTTCACAGATATCCCCTGTGACTGTTCACAGCGGTGTGAGTTCATCTCGCCCTCACAGTACACTTTTGTAGCTTCACAGATATCCCCATGACTGGTCACAGTGGTGTGTAAACTCTCATATTGCTCCTTGTGGCTTCACATGATATCCCGTGACTGGTCACAGTAGTGTGTAAACCCTCATATTGCTCCTTGTAGCTTCAGATATCCCCGTGACTGGTCACAGCAGTGTGTTAACCCTCATATTGCTCCTTGTGGCTTCACAGATATCCCCGTGACTGGTCACAGCTGTGTGAGTTCATCTCGCCCTCACAGTTCACTTTGTAGCTTCACAGATATCCCCGTGACTGTTCACAGCAGTGTGAAAACCCTCATATTGCTCCTTGTAGCTTCACAGATATCCCGTGACTGGTCACAGCAGTGTGTAAACCCTCATATTGCTCTTTGTGGCTTCACAGATATCCCCGTGACTGTTCACAGCAGTGTGAAAACCTCATATTGCCTCCTTGTAGCTTCACAGATATCCCCGTGACTGGTCACAGCAGTGTGTAAACCCTCATATTGCTCCTTGTAGCTTCACAGATATCCCCGTGACTGGTCACAGCAGTGTGTTAACCCTCATATTGCTCCTTGTAGCTTCACAGATATCCCGGCGTGACTGGTCACAGTAGTGTGTAAACCCTCATATTGCTCCTTGTAGCTTCACAGATATCCCCGTGACTGTTCACAGCGGTGTGTAAACCCTCATATTGCTCCTTGTAGCTTCACAGATATCCCTGTGACTGGTCACAGCAGTGTGTTAACCCTCATATTGCTCCTTGTAGCTTCACAGATATCCCGCGTGACTGGTCACAGTAGTGTGTAAACCCTCATATTGCTCCTTGTAGCTTCACAGATATCCCCGTGACTGTTCACAGCGCAGTGTGAAAACCCTCATATTGCTCCTTGTAGCTTCACAGATATCCCGTGACTGGTCACAGCAGTGTGTAAACCCTCATATTGCTCCTTGTAGCTTCTGAGATATCCCCTGTGACTGGTCACAGCAGTGTGTTAACCCTCATATTGCTCCTTGTGGCTTCACAGATATCCCCGTGACTGGTCACAGTAGTGTGTAAACCCTCATATTGCTCCTTGTAGCTTCACAGATATCCCCGTGACTGTTCACAGCAGTGTGTAAACCCTCATATTGCTCCTTGTAGCTCCACAGATATCCCCGTGACTGGTCACAGTGGTGGTAATAAACCCTCATATTGCTCCTTGTAGCTTCACAGATATCCCCGTGACTGGTCACAGCAGTGTGTAAACCCTCATATTGCTCCTTGTGGCTTCATGATATCCCTCGTGACTGGTCACAGCTGTGTGAGTTCATCTCGCCCTCACGGTACTTTGTAGCTTCACAGATATCCCCGTGACTGGTCACAGCTGTGTGAGTTCATCTCGCCCTCACAGTACACCTTGTAGCTTCACATATATCCCCGTGACTGGTCACAGTAGTGTGTAAACTCTCATATTGCTCCTTGTGGCTTCACATGATATCCCCGTGACTGGTCACAGTAGTGTGTAAAACCCTCATATTGCTCCTTGTAGCTTCACAGATATCCCCGTGACTGGTCACAGCAGTGTGTTAACCCTCATATTGCTCCTTGTAGCTTCACATGATATCCCCGTGACTGGTCACAGCAGTGTGTAAACCCTCATATTGCTCCTTGTAGCTCCACAGATATCCCCTGTGACTGGTCACAGTAGTGTGTAAACCCTCATATTGCTCCTTGTAGCTTCACAGATATCCCCGTGACTGGTCACAGCAGTGTGTAAACCCTCATATTGCTCCTTGTAGCTTCACATGATATCCCCGTGACTGGTCACAGCTGTGTGAGTTCATCTCGCCCTCACAGTACACCTTGTAGCTTCACAGATATCCCCGTGACTGGTCACAGCTGTGTGAGTTCATCTCGCCCTCACAGTACACCTTGTAGCTTCACAGATATCCCCGTGACTGTTCACAGCAGTGTGAGTTCATCTCGCCCTCACAGTACACTTTGTAGCTTCACAGATATCCCCATGACTGGTCACAGTAGTGTGTAAACTCTCATATTGCTCCTTGTAGCTTCACATGATATCCCCGTGACTGGTCACAGTAGTGTGTAAACCCTCATATTGCTCCTTGTAGCTTCACAGATATCCCCGTGACTGGTCACAGCAGTGTGTTAACCCTCATATTGCTCCTTGTAGCTTCACAGATATCCCCGTGACTGGTCACAGCTGTGTGAGTTCATCTCGCCCTCACAGTTCACTTTGTAGCTTCACAGATATCCCCGTGACTGGTCACAGCAGTGTGAAAACCCTCATATTGCTCCTTGTAGCTTCACAGATATCCCCGTGACTGGTCACAGCGGTGTGTAAACCCTCATATTGTTCTCTTTGTAGCTTCACAGATATCCCCGTGACTGGTCACAGTGGTAGTGTAAACCCTCATATTGCTCCTTGTAGCTTCACAGATATCCCCGTGACTGTTCACAGCAGTGTGTAAACCCTCATATTGCTCCTTGTAGCTTCACAGATATCCCCGTGACTGGTCACAGCAGTGTGTAAACCCTCATATTGCTCCTTGTAGCTCCACAGATATCCCCGTGACTGGTCACAGTAGTGTGTAAACTCTCATATTGCTCCTTGTAGCTTCACAGATATCCCCCTGACTGGTCACAGCAGTGTGTAAACCCTCATATTGCTCCTTGTAGCTTCACATGATATCCCCGTGACTGGTCACAGTAGTGTGTAAACCCTCATATTGCTCCTTGTAGCTTCACAGATATCCCCGTGACTGGTCACAGCTGTGTGAGTTCATCTCGCCCTCACAGTACACCTTGTAGCTTCACAGATATCCCCGTGACTGTTCACAGCAGTGTGAGTTCATCTCGCCCTCACAGTACACCTTGTAGCTTCACAGATATCCCCCTGACTGGTCACAGCAGTGTGTAAACCCTCATATTGCTCCTTGTAGCTTCACAGATATCCCCATGACTGGTCACAGTAGTGTGTAAACTCTCATATTGCTCCTTGTAGCTTCACAGATATCCCCCTGACTGGTCACAGCAGTGTGTAAACCCTCATATTGCTCCTTGTAGCTTCACAGATATCCCCGTGACTGGTCACAGTAGTGTGAAAACCCTCATATTGCTCCTTGTAGCTTCACAGATATCCCCGTGACTGGTCACAGCAGTGTGTAAACCCTCATATTGCTCTTTGTAGCTTCACAGATATCCCCGTGACTGGTCACAGTAGTGTGTAAACCCTCATATTGCTCCTTGTAGCTTCACAGATATCCCCGTGAGTGGTCACAGCAGTGTGTAAACCCTCATATTGCTCTTTGTAGCTTCACAGATATCCCCGTGACTGGTCACAGCAGTGTGTAAACCCTCATATTGCTCCTTGTAGCTTCACAGATATCCCCGTGACTGGTCACAGCAGTGTGTAAACCCTCATATTGCTCTTTGTAGCTTCACAGATATCCCCGTGACTGGTCACAGTAGTGTGTAAACCCTCATATTGCTCCTTGTAGCTTCACAGATATCCCCGTGACTGTTCACAGCAGTGTGTAAACCCTCATATTGCTCCTTGTAGCTTCACAGATATCCCCGTGACTGGTCACAGCAGTGTGTTAACCCTCATATTGCTCCTTGTAGCTTCACAGATATCCCCGTGACTGGTAACAGCTGTGTGAGTTCATCTCGCCCTCACAGTACACCTTGTAGCTTCACAGATATCCCCGTGACTGTTCACAGCAGTGTGAGTTTATCTCGCCCTCACAGTACACATTGTAGCTTCACAGATATCCCCGTGACTGGTCACAGCAGTGTGTAAACCCTCATATTGCTCCTTGTAGCTTCACAGATATCCCCGTGACTGGTCACAGCTGTGTGAGTTCATCTCGCCCTCACAGTACACCTTGTATCTTCACAAGTGTTAATGTATGCTATTTTATGCAACTCTGCCACCCAACTACTGTTGACTGTACCCATCCAACCATTAAGGACGGAACAAACTGAAATAGCTGTGGACGTGCAAACTTCTTTTTGTAGAACTACGTGTACTGGGCGGACCTGAGGCGCGAGGGAAGTCATGAGGATGTACAAACAATCAGGAGGAGACAAGCTTATGGCTCTCGGCAGCGCTGTTGATCCACATAGTGTGAAGCCGTTCCATCCTGATATGCAACCAGAAGGTATGAGTGTATATGAATCTTGCTACACTTCCCGTCTATATTTTATTGAAATTATATCCAAGGTGAAAGACAAGAGCATGCAATCATAGATTTCAGATTTAATACCATGGAACATAACCGTGAACACGCATGGCTGTAGTGGCGATGGCAGTGAAGGTGAAGTTGGCAGTGAAGGTGAAGTTCGAGGTAAAGGTGAAGTTGGCAGTGAAGGTGAAGTTACCGGTAAAGGTGAAGTTGACAGTGAAAGTGCAGTTCGCGGTAAAGATGAAGTTAGCAGTGAAGGTGAAGTTCACGGTAAAGGTGAAGTTGGCAGTGAAGGTGAAGTTACCGGTAAAGGTGAAGTTGGCAGTGAAGGTGCAGTTCATGCGGTAAAGATGAAGTTAGCAGTGAAGGTGAGGTTACCGGTAAAGGTGAAGTTAGCAGTGAAGGTGAGGTTACCGGTAAAGGTGAAGTTGGCAGTGAAGGTGCAGTTCGCGGTAAAGATGAAGTTAGCAGTGAAGGTGAAGTTACCGGTAAAGGTGAAGTTGGCAGTGAAGGTGAAGTTACCAGTAAAGGTGAAGTTGGCAGTGAAGGCGAAGTTCATGGTAAATGTGAAGCTGGCAGTGAAGGTGAAGTTACCGGTAAAGGTGAAGTTAGCAGTGAAGGTGAGGTTACCGGTAAAGGTGAAGTTGGCAGTGAAGGTGCAGTTCGCGGTAAAGGTGAAGTTGGCAGTGAAGGCGAAGTTCATGGTAAATGTGAAGCCGGCAGTGAAGGTGAAGTTACCGGTAAAGGTGAAGTTAGCAGTGAAGGTGAGGTTACCGGTAAAGGTGAAGTTGGCAGTGAAGGTGCAGTTTGCGGTAAAGATGAAGTTAGCAGTGAAGGTGAAGTTACCGGTAAAGGTGAAGTTGGCAGTGAAGGTGAAGTTACCAGTAAAGGTGAAGTTGGTAGTGAAGGTGAATTTCATGGTAAAGGTGAAGTCGGCAGTGAAGGTGAAGTTACCGGTAAAGGTGAAGTTAGCAGTGAAGGTGCAGTTCGCGGTAAAGATGAAGTTAGCAGTGAAGGTGAAGTTACCGGTAAAGGTGAAGTTGGCAGTGAAGGTGAAGTTACCGGTAAAGGTGAAGTTGGCAGTGAAGGTAGAGTTACCGGTAAAGGTGAAGTTAGCAGTGAAGGTGAGGTTACCGGTAAAGGTGAAGTTGGCAGTGAAGGTGCAGTTCGCGGTAAAGATGAAGTTAGCAGTGAAGGTGAAGTTACCGGCAAAGGTGAAGTTGGCAGTGAAGGTGAAGTTACCGGTAAAGGTGAAGTTGGCAGTGAAGGTGAAGTTACCGGTAAAGGTGTTGTCGGCAGTGAAGGTGAAGTTCACTGTAAAGGTGAAGTTGGCAGTGAAGGTGAAGTTCGCGGTAAAGGTGAAGTTGGCAGTGAATGTTCAGTTTGCGGTCAAGGTGAAGTTGGTGGTGAAGGTGAAGTTCACGGTAAAGGTGAAGTCGGCAGTGAAGGTGAAGTTGGTGGTGAAGGTGAAGTTCGCGGTAAAGGTGAAGTTGGCAGTGAAGGTGAAGTTCGCGGTAAAGGTGAAGTTGGCAGTGACGGTGAAGTTGGTAGTGAAGGTGCTGTTGGCATTTAAGGTGGAATGTGGTCAGCAAATAGAAGAATGAATATTTTAAAGAATGCCAAAGTTACACCATGTTGTCCCTCATAAGACATATGCTCGACAAGATCATTAATGAAAAGAGAAAACAACTTCGGGGACATCTGACAGCCCCGTACTGCACTGGATAAAGGTGGAGTAACCACCAGGAAGAGATATACATGATTGGACACTTTGATAAATATTTCTAATAATTATAAATATCTTTCCTTTAACACCACCATTCGAGAGCTTAAATAATAAACCTTTACGATAGACTCAAAGGCAGCTTTTAAATCAATAAAGGCACAATAAAATCTACCACGCTTCTCCGACAAGTATTTCTGAATGAGAGTATCAATAATGAATGTATTATCAGTTGTTTGAAAGCCTTTACGGAAACCTGCCTGTTCTTTGACAATAACATTCTCCTCCGTAGACCACAATAAGAGCCTATTGCATATTATTTTAACAAAAACATTTACCCGCCACATCAAGAAGAGTAATAGGCCTATAGTTACTAGCTTCATTTACACTGCCCTTCTTGTAAACAGGAAGATTAACCCCAGAAGTCCATTGTTCAGGGTAAATACCGGTGGATAATATTACATTATATAACTTTAGTAACATGTCAGTACATTCTAATGGAGCATGTTTAAAAAATTCTATGGGAATACCATTAAATCCTGGAGCTTTACCAGATTTCATTGAGTCAATGGCAGACAACACTTCATTTAAAGTGATAGTCCTATCAAGTTCATCATCGCCATCAGCTGTCATGTTGATAAAATCCTCGTCAATTGAATCAACAAAGCCATCGATAAATTTATAGAATTCAATCAAATTTACACAGTTTTTGCTTTCCTGAAGCAAACATTTAAAGTGATTAATCCAGTCATTTATGTTTGTATTTTTGGAAAGTTTTGGAAAGTATGAAAGTGTTTGGAAAGCTTGGGCTTTCCGTTTACATAACAGTTTATGGTGTTTCTAGGCTGCCATGTACGTCTGTCTTGTCAGCACTACTTTTCGAGGCGTAGAACACGCGCAACCGCCCAAGCGCTGTTGCACGTGCGCTCTCACATTCAGCTTCGTATCAGTTACCTCCCTTCTTATCCAGAGCCAGTAGGAGACTTTCCACAGCCAAGCGCACATGTTTTCATGATGTATGTAAACACAGAGACAGCAGTGTCTACCTTAGTTCATTATAACAATGTTGTGTTGCCGTCTGTCTACCCCTCTAATGAAATATATTTGAACAGTGTCGTGTTTCCCGTCGCCCCTAGTTTTAGTTTTACTATCACAATTGAATCAACTCTGTAACCATCATTAACTTCTTTTTTCATAAACCACCTGAAATCTCGATCTCTTTACATCAGGGAAACCCGCGTGTGGGCCGGATAACGGAGGCTGTCTAATCTGTCTCCCAACTGTCAGGAATGGCTCGAGACACAGCTTCCGGTGCGCATGTCCAGATGGACTGTCCCTTGGTGACGATAAGAAGACCTGTCGTACGCCAAGTACGTTCAACATTCTAAAATGCATCATATTTGATTCATTTAGTGATTGTTTTAGGTATTTCAAATCTTTTGTGGCATCCACGGAAATGCTGAATTATTGTGCTTAAACGTTTAGCGCAGACTCGACCTTTAAACCAAACAGTAATTGGTTGTGGAGTATTGTCATTAGCACTTTAAGATATGGAAAACGTATCAACATGTGCATTTCTCCTATTTGTTTTAGAGTTATGATTCTTTAGTGACATAATCTACAGATTCTGCCAAGCGAAACAGCCTGCCATACCCTTCAGTCATCGTGTCAGTTGTGATATTATAGACAACAGAAATATGTCCATGTTTGATATGACTAAATTACAAGGGCAGAATGCAGCTATTCCTGCATCAACATGTGAGAAACAACTTTGATTACTTAAAAAGTAAACGCATGTTATCGGGCTTTTAAAGCCTTTTTGTGTGTATTTGATAATTGTGCATCCTAGAGGCATGTAAAGCCGGATACGAAGCCGTGGAGGGTGGCTGTAAGGATGTGGACGAGTGCAGCCAGCCGGGTTCCTGCTCCCACACCTGCCACAACACACCGGGAAGCTTTACTTGCACCTGTCGCCATGGATTCATCCTCGTCAACGGAACTCGGTGTCGACATGAAGGTAGCGCTATATACAGCCCCAACAGGACAGGGCATTCGGATAACTGTAGAGGACTTGTCGTAGTTGGGACGTAGTTAGCCATTCTATTGTTAAAATGCAGTGTAGAATCAGGACATACGTGTTCATTACTCTGTGCTGATCACACTCAGGTACAGTCAGGACATAAGTGTTCATTACTCTGTGCTGATCACACTCAGGTGCAGTCAGGACATAAGTGTACATTACTCTGTGCTGATCACACTCAGGTACAGTCAGGAAATAAGTGTTCATTACTCTGTGCTGATCACACTCAGGTACAGTCAGGACATAAGTGTTCATTACTCTGTGCTGATCACACTCAGGTACAGTCAGGACATAAGTGTTCATTACTCTGTGCTGATCACACTCAGGTACAGTCAGGACATAAGTGTTCATTACTCTGTGCTGATCACACTCAGGTACAGTCAGGACATAAGTGTTCATTACTCTATGTTGATCACACTCAGGTGCAGTCAGGACATAAGTGTACATTACTCTGTGCTGATCACACTCAGGTAGAGTCAGGACATAAGTGTTCATTATTCTGTGCTGATCACACTCAGGTGCAGTCAGGACATAAGTGTACATTACTCTGTGCGGATCACACTCAAGTAGAGTCAGGACATAAGTGTACATTATTCTGTGCTGATCACACTCAGGTACAGTCAGGACATAAGTGTTCATTACTCTGTGCTGATCACACTCAGGTGCAGTCAGGACATAAGTGTTCATTACTCTGTGCTGATCACACTCAGGTTCAGTCAGGACATAAGTGTTCATTTCTGTGCTGATCACACTCAGGTAGAGTCAGGACATAAGTGTTCATTACTCTGTGCTGATCACACTCAGGTAGAGTCAGGACATAAGTGTTCATTACTCTGTGCTGATCACACTCAGGTACAGTCAGGACATAAGTGTTCATTACTCTGTGCTGATCACACTCAGGCACAGTCAGGACATAAGTGTTCATTACTCTGTGCTGATCACACTCAGGTACAGTCAGGACATAAGTGTTCATTACTCTATGTTGATCACACTCAGGTGCAGTCAGGACATAAGTGTACATTACTCTGTGCTGATCACACTCAGGTAGAGTCAGGACATAAGTGTTCATTATTCTGTGCTGATCACACTCAGGTGCAGTCAGGACATAAGTGTTCATTACTCTGTGCTGATCACACTCAGGTACAGTCAGGACATAAGTGTTCATTACTCTGTGCTGATCACACTCAGGTACAGTCAGGACATAAGTGTTCATTACTCTGTGGGGATCACACTCAGGTACAGTCAGGACATAAGTGTTAATTACTCTGTGCTGATCACACTCAGGTTCAGTCAGGACATAAGTGTTCATTACTCTGTGCTGATCACACTCAGGTACAGTCAGGACATAAGTGTTCATTACTCTGTGCTGATCACACTCAGGTGCAGTCAGGACATAAGTGTACATTACTCTGTGCTGATCACACTCAGGTAGAGTCAGGACATAAGTGTTCATTACTCTGTGCTGATCACACTCAGGTGCAGTCAGGACATAAGTGTACATTACTTTGTGCGGATCACACTCAGGTACAGTCAGGACATAAGTGTTCATTACTCTGTGCTGATCACACTCAGGTACAGTCAGGACATAAGTGTTCATTACTCTGTGCTGATCACACTCAGGTTCAGTCAGGACATAAGTGTTCATTTCTGTGCTGATCACACTCAGGTAGAGTCAGGAAATAAGTGTTGATTACTCTGTGCTGATCACACTCAGGTACAGTCAGGACATAAGTGTTCATTACTCTGTGCTGATCACACTCAGGTACAGTCAGGACATAAGTGTTCATTACTCTGTGCTGATCACACTCAGGCACAGTCAGGACATAAGTGTTCATTACTCTGTGCTGATCACACTCAGGTAGAGTCAGGACATAAGTGTTCATTACTCTGTGCTGATCACACTCAGGTGCAGTCAGGACATAAGTGTTCATTACTCTGTGCTGATCACACTCAGGTACAGTCAGGACATAAGTGTTAGGTACACTGTGCTGATCACACTCAGGTAGAAACATGTTTACTGCATTGTCACAGCGCAAGGTCCTGCTCCCGCCTTACTTGTCGTGGACTGGCGAAGACTCCGTATGATAGACCAACTAGACTCCCCCACCCCACGGGTGGTCAACATTCGTCGCCATGCGGCCATGAAGCGAGCTGTCGCAGTAGATGTGGACCAGGAAATCGGGCGTATCTTCTGGGCAGATCTCATGTCACATTCCATTAACATGTGAGTTGGGAGGGCCGCAGCGCAATGTACGTATCATACGCCTTTGTTCAGAATCGGTCATTTTTACAAATATCAGCCAATTGTCTCTATTGTCTACCCTGCCATGCAGTATATAGGCATTTTGAAGACTGTCTTATAACTTTGTTTTACAATCACAGTTACATCAGATTTGAAATTTCTTTCAGGGTGTGTTATTCTCAGTCAATGTGTAAACTTGTGAATGATGAATTTTCTTACCTGCTTATTAAGGGCCACTCTGAATGGAAGCACTCTGCTATCACCAACTGTACTGGTTACCTCCGGGATAAGATTCCCCGAGAGCGTGGCGTATGACTGGCTACACAAGGCTCTGTACTGGGTGGACGCAGAGGATGGTGCCATCAGGGTGATCACTCTGGAGACCAGCCTCACCAGGACAGTGCATAGACATCTGGATAGACCACGAGCCCTAGCGCTTGATCCAAATGAAGGGTACCATCATTCAAGCATAACCATCCACTGTGGTTACGTTGTTCATCAGAGATCCTATTCTCGAAACGTTCGTGGACCTAAGAATTCTTAACTTTGATCGTAGCCAATGTGTTAAGAATGGACATAAGAAGTTCGTAGGGCTACGAACGTTTCGAAAATAACTAGCCAGGTGTCTATGGGGACTATTCCCTGTGATGGATAGAACTACTCATAGAGTACCAGGTGCACGGGTGGTCTAGTTGTCTTAGGCTCCATAACACCATGTACACAGTTGCGTCCCTTAGTTTAACTCCAATAACTGTATGTTCGAATCCCATATTCGCCTTAATTGTAAGTTTGTAAGACTAGCATTAGGCACACATTTTTGGGGCCCAGGTTTTATTCACAGAGACGACTTTATGAAGGGTTAACAAAACAGTTGTATGACGGCAACCTAAAGACTGAAACCTATGATTATGGTATATCATGGTAAACTTGTTACTGTTCTTTTCCGGAAATAGAACTCAACTTCAATAATTATATTTTCCATCTTGTCTCCCCAAAAACTGAGAAACCTATGGACCAGAGCACTTCTAAATACCTAAAATGACACCACTTAGGTCAAATGTCGCTTTAAATTAACTGCTCTTTACAGGCCACGTGACATTGTTGTATTAGTACTGACTACGTTGTTCAACTCACAACTCACAGAGCCATGGGCTATACATACAACATTGGCTTACACGGACAATACACATTCTCTTCATCAATCGACCCCTGAGCCTTATGTGTGAAATTCCAAGGCAAACCTTGATTGGTCTTCTGATTTGGCAGACGCTTGTACTTGAGTACTTGGGGGAAGACACCGAGTATAGAGACGAGCGGGATGGACGGGTCAGGGAGGACGGCTATCATCACAACCGACATCGAATGGCCAAATGGTTTGACTATAGGTCAGTTGTCAGAATATACATGCTAATGAAACAAAGACAATGTCTTAAAACATGACCATAATACCCGTTTCACACTTGAGGCGGAATGCTTTTAGAATGAAAATTCCTGGAAATTCCAAATGCATTCTAAAACTTCTTACTCCATTCCGAATGCATTCCAACTATTCGTGTCAATTCTTGTAACATGTTCAAAACTTTCGAGGTACATTCGAAGTGGAAAAATATCGAACAGCATTTGAAGTGCATTCTAAGTATTCTTACTGCATTCAAGCTGCATTTTAAGTATTCTGAACGTATTCGAGGGAGAATCGAAGAGGCAAGCCACTTCAAAACATGCAAGAATGTCCCGAAAGCGACTTGAATGTACTTCGATTGCTGCTGGAATTTAGTTGGAATATTCTTCAAACGTATATTTCGATTGCATTTGGAATACAACTCGAATGTACATCGAATACACCTCGAATACAGTCAGAACGCCCCGAATGCTCTTCAAATTAGCCCTGACGTCACCTCCGAATCGCATGAAAACGTAGCGGTGAAATATTGATATCATTGTTTTTAATTAAAACAAAAAAACAAAAACAAAAAACCACCCGCGAAGGACAGTCATTCAAGCAAAACTAGTGTAAAATTGGAAGTACATTTAATTGAACGTAGAGGACACAAATTGACTGGTAATATCATAACACATTAATATGTTGGTGTCGTATTTCTATAAGAAATCTTATCAATGATGAAAAGTCAGCAAATCGAATGTCGATATGTCACTTATACATCAATCATCCTGTTCTGCCAGGGCACGGCTCCAACTGGGTTGTTGAAGTAATGCTCTAGAATCTCCCGCTGATTCTTCCCAGCCTGGGTGTCTCTGTTTCCTCCTGCAACATGCTGCACATCTTCAAGCTGCGCAAGTTGTCTCCAGCCTCCTGGCACCACGTTGTGTGTCTCATCTTCCTCATCCACCATACCATTGTGGAGATTAGGATAACGAATCCTCATCAAGTTGTGCAGGCAGACACAACATTCAATGATGCCCTTTACAACGGAAGGCCTTGGCAGCATGGTGGTGAGGAGGATTTGCCATCTCTGGGCCAGAATTCCAAATACATTTTCCACTACCCGTCGGCCCCTGCTGATCCTGTAGTTGTAGATTCTCTCGTCTCTCTGGAGAGTCATATGACCATACGGTTTCATCAAGAAGGTCCTTATTCCAAAGGCATCATCTCCCAGAATAAAGCATGGCATACGCTCGTCATCTTGGGGTAAGGGGGACGAATCAGGAAATCCTATGCCCCCGTCTTCAAGACAATCCTTGAGCTCGCACTCGTTAAAGATCTGAGCATTAGAGACACTTTCGTAAGCACCAACGTCCACCCACAGGAACCTGTAATTTCTTTCCACAAGGGCCATGAGGACCACAGAAAAGAAGCCCTTGTAGTTGTGGTATAATGAGCCGCTCTTGGCAGGTTTCCTAATGGCCACATGTTTGTCATCTAAATCTCCTACGACATGAGGAATATTCCACCTGTTTCTGAATACCTCTTCAATGGGAGCCCATTCTTCTGGAGTGGTAGGGCAGATGATAACCTCATCCTTGTATTCCTCCACAATGGCCTTACATACTTCTGGGATGATCAGGCTGACTGTGTTCCTTGCCACGCGGAAGCTGTACATGATGCTTGGGTACCTATCACCTGAAGCCAGGAACCTAAATGTGATGGCTAGCTTCACGCCTGGAGGTAGCGCCTTTCTCATATATGTATCCAGCTGCTTCTGTATTCTTGGTCCCACTCTCTGCACCAACTCATCAAACATGGCAGGCTCCATCCTGAGGTAGTTGAAGAAAGACTGCGTGTCCTCAACTCTGAGCTCCTCCATTAGTCTTGTGTAATGTCCATACAGCCTTCTCATTTCCTCTGTCACCCATGGTCTGGTCTGGAATCTCCTGGGTCTTCTCCTGTTTCTTCTCCTGGTCTCTTCCACATCTCTTTCAATCAGGTCTTGCTGGAGGACAGCAATCTGGAGCAACGCAACATGGTCCAGTGGGTCCATACTGTATAGGAGTTGGGCAGAGACTGATGAATTAGACCCCATCGTGCAACATTCCGGCAGCATTCTTGATGTATTTCGGACATTCGTGTTACATTCTAAGTGCATTTGAAGGATGTTTGAAATATTCGAGCTGCATACTGTTTTAGTTCTTTAACATTCGATCCATATTCGGGGGTCATTCCAAGAGGGTTTTGAATGCATTCTATGTGAATTCGTAAAGCATTCGAGGTACTTTCCAACTGAAATTCGAGTGCCATTCATACAGCAGTCGAACCTGACTCGTACGGCAGTCGAAACTCATTTTAAGTCTTCTTAGTGTATTCTGACGGCATTCTAATTATTCCTACTGTATTCCGATTCACTCGAGCTGCATTCGTGATCTAGTACATTTGGAATCAGCAAGAATCATTCGAGGCGAGTTCGAAGTACGTTCGAAGTATTCCAACAGCATTCTTACAAAGCTTAACAAAATTGTTTATTTTGACATTCTCTCCCGAATGCGGTTCGAATTTTGAAAATATTTTTATTCTGGCTGATTCTTCTTGATTCCTGCCAATTCGAAATAAGTGTGATGGACGCTCAAGTGAATTATATGGTTATAAATAATATTGTTGATGTGCGCATGATTAAAGTAATATCTTTTAAACATGTCCAGGTTTTATCAAAGACATTGCGAGAAATGCAATATTTACCTGCGAGGCAGCATGTCCTTTCACAACATTTTACTTTTTCACCATCTTAAATCTTTCCCAGACTATGGTGAACGGCGTTTAATGTGGACTGACGGGAGCATAGGTGTTGTCTACAGCTCCGACATGGACGGCAGTAATCGAAGAGTACTATTTTTCAGCCATAGTGAACAACATCAACATATGTTCTCTGTGGCTGTTATAGAGGTACGGTGCTTTACTTACAGGCATTGGGTATATCCCATATAAATGAAATTGTTTCCAGATGTGGCTTTACCTGAAGAAAAGCGACTGTATGGCCTAGACCCGTTTTTAATGGTCATTTAATTTAATTTAAGACAAAAAAGGTGTGTGTGTGCGCACCACATACGCACTCACGCATACACACGCACACACCTGGATCCGCCTATGAGTACAAGTTCCCTATGTTTCGATCCATATATGTTCAGGATTGCATCTTTGTACAGGATTACGTCTACTGGACAGACTGGAGCCGACGGACACTCTCCAGAGTCCTCAAGACTGGTGGTGGCATGAGGACATATACCACGGTGGCGTTCAGAAGACCAGTAGATGTCAAGGTCATACATCGTTACACACAACCCAAAGGTACACATGGGAAACACGTTCTTTATTTCTGTCTCCACGGGATACAAATGACTATTCCAGCAAGTGACCAGTTGTATAAATCATTCTTGAGAAATTCTGAAACAGCTTTCAGATTGGTCATAAGGACTGGGTTTTTTAAAGCTTTGAATGTTAAGTGTTCTTTCGTATTTGACATATAGTTTCAACCTCTCTGGAGTGTATACTTGCTTGTGTCATAAACTAGGGGCATGCACTCTAACATCGTAGAGGGATGACGGAAGTTCTGGTGCGACAAACCAGTCGATGCTACTGGCAGTTGGTGTTAGCAATATTCGATTGAACAGAAAAGCATGAACATAAATCTACAGCCTGCGTTTTACACTCACATGGCATATGTAATTGTAATTCCAGGCACAAACCGATGTGGCATCAATAATGGTGGGTGTTCCCACATCTGTTCACCTGCTGCTGGCGGGAGAATGTTCACCTGCCAGTGCCCGGATCACATCGACGTCGGCCCCCCGTGTCTGGATCCTGCTTAGAGATATACTTCAAATACACAGTTATACACGATGCCGTGTAACGTTATAAGAATTTATGATTCGTTGGGAAATATCACTTGAGTGTGAAGCATGTGATGTTCATTTACACGCGCACCCCAATAAACATTTATCTCACCAGTAGTTCGCATATTATTGACCTTTAACAGAAAAGTAATATACTCATGGAAACCAATAAGGGAACACATGAAAGTACAAGTGTTCCTTTATTCTATTCCAGGTTTCTTCACAAGATATGTGTTGCACTGTGGGTGAAATTCTGGAAATAAATAAAGGAACACTTGTACTTTCATGTGTTCCCTTATTCATTTCCATGAGAAAAATGTTGCCAAACCAGACACTAGCTGGTAAGTCAATAATCACTGTAAATAAATGATTTTTTTTGTCAGAACAAATGTGTTACTACTAGTCATGGTTATGTAAATGATATACGATCTAGCACAAGTTGTTTGCCATTTAGAAAGTGGTCAAATGCAACATGATACATTTTGGATTACCCCTTCTCAGTAACCTACAACTTTATTAAAGGCATTGAGTATTTACAGCGTCATATATGGGTGCCGTGCCAATTTACACTTGTCAGAGGGGTTAAACAAAATGTGATGTTGACTATCAGTTCTATCAGTTGTCGGACTTCCATTTTTGTGGAAGCAGCTGTGACTGAGTGAGTTGGACAGCTGACTTTGAGTGCTGGCAATGTAGATGCCTTACCATGTTCGTTCGAAGTCCAGATGGGACTCACCCCGAAAAAGTAACAGATTTTGTTCATTTTCTGAGAGTGAGTGAGTGTGGTTTTACGGCGCTTTTAGCAATATTCCCACAATATCACGGCGGGGGACACCAGAAATGGGCTTCACACATTGTACCCATGTAGGGAATCAAACCCGGGTCTTCGGAGCTTTAACCACTAGGGTACCCCACCGCCCACTCTTACTGAGAAAGTGTAATACCAAATATGACATATGTTGCGTTTCACCACTTTCTGAAAGGCACTATGTATTAATACTGTTTCCGAGTTACCTAATACGAGTCGCGATCTTGGCATGACAGATGCTTACATGAGATTTTTTGTTGTTAAAATTTGCGGATGATATGGTTAAGTTGGTTGAATCTGTTGCTGGTTTACAAAGTGGTCTTAATGTTCGTACACAATATTGTCACAAGTGGGACATCAGCCATAACACGTTATTAATATTCCAAGTATGTTATGCATTTATTAAGATGTTTGAAGGTTTTCCAGATATCTACATCATTTTATGTAAGAGAGAAACAGAATTACTTGGAAATGAGAATATTTTCTTGGAAAACTTGTATGTGCCTGGTTCGTGAAGGGTAGGGGGAGGGCATTAAGTACTGTCGGAAATAGATTTTTTTTTGTATTTTCTCATTTATCTCTACAAGTGTGAAATATCTGTGCGGAAATGAGCAATGCGGTTTTTTTCTAAGTCCAAAACGATTTATTTGGAACAAACCATGGCTTTATGCAAATTAGTGTGCGACGATATTGTCTTACAAAGGACACTTTTTAAATGCCCAATTTGAAATTAGACGTAGCTTCATTATAAACGATAGCTGGCGTAAATAATAATAACTTTCATGCTGAAACTATTAAGGATGTAGCTACCATGGAGTCTCACTGTCACAATAAAAGGAAACAGATAGGAGGGTTCGTCTCAAAAGCAAAACCTGGACGGGTGTCGCAGGCGATCGTTGGGGTCGGGCTGGGGGACAGAGATATCAGCTAAGATAAGATAATCTTTTAGGGCAATTATACTGGGGAAGTACACGGCATGTCATAACAATTTACAAATAATATCCAGTCCTGTCGATCTTCGCGATCGGGTGGTCATGCCACCTATATATTTTGAGACATTTAATACGATGCGTTTCTATGGTTATCAGGTATCAAACTCTTTACATATCTCAACATAAACTTTATGAAAGAAAGACACATAAGATGTTAATCAATAGATGAGGCAGAGTCAACACACATGAAAAAGCACAAACTATCTTTGAGATGACCCCTTGTGCCTGTAGGCAGCACATGCATTTCATGCCAGGTGAGTCGACGGTCCGTCGTCATACCTGGCTGAGCGACCTAATTGCCATCTATAGTCTGATCTATTGTTTTCAGCAGTTACAGGTATTTTTTCTAAGTTTTGCCCGATTTTACGAGTAAACATGCTTTTCTGGATATCCTATTACGCATCTCACTGAAGGCCCAGTTAGGCCATGTGGGTTATTTCGACATATGCTATTTGCTGTTGTGTAAATTTTTGGGATACAGAGTAACAGCCTAAAAACAGTTTTTGTCTATTTCCGACAGTACTTTAGTTCTACGTAATAGTACTTGCTGTGAGATGTACGGTTTCTTGTGTATTGGCATCTTGCCTATGAAATAAAAGGCCTGTGTTATCTATGCGAGACTAGCGATTATCAATAACAATATGCCTGGTGATAGGAGTTAACAGTACAAAGGAACGAGAATCCTCTGAAGTTAACTTTTAAAGGAATATTATGCCAAATTTGTATTTGGTTCAAAACATTCTGTAAGTGTGGAAAGTACTGTACTTCATATATACAAACAATGTTGAATACATCCTTGAGGAGAGTTTCAGAACTTCCTTACCTCCCATTATTGCTTGCTGGAAATTATATTTCAAAATGATACCTGAACAAATGGTTGAGTAATGACAAATACCGACATTTTCTGTACCCCATGGTGCAAAACATAATCATGAGAATTTTTCGAACCATATGATTCTCAGCTCTTGTAACAAAATGTACACATTTGGGATTTTGTATAAATTTTATTTCCACGCACAATATCTTACACATTGAGCACACTCACAATCTGCTTGATGAACATGTACATTTAGTACTTAATCTGCAAGACTGACATCCTCTACCACTGACAAGTCATACCTGATTGATTAGAAGGTCAGTGTATCACATCCCCAAACTATTTTGATAAACCACCTGGACCCATTTCATACCATAACGATGCTTTGAACTTAGCATGAACAGCACAATACCACAGACACATCCAATTGTTGTTGTGAGACATCCAGTAATCTGGAATAACAACTATCCTATATCAGTGAGTGGGTGAGTTTGGTTTTACGCCGCTGTTAGTAATATTTGCAATATTACAAAGGGAGGACACCAGAAATGGGCTTCACACATTGTACCCATGTGGGGAATCGAACCCGGGTCTTCGGTGTGACTAGTGAACGCTTTAACCACTAGGCTACCCTACCGCCCCTTTTTCCTATATCAAAGCACAGGAAAAAATCTTCTCGTTTCATTCAATATATTGATATATTATTTGAGAAATGTAAACTTGATCTTTGCAGAAGAATGGCATTGAGAGTTTGTTGATTTCGAGTTAATGAGCAAGAGAGCCTTCTTTTCAGCCAAGAGAAACAAATGCGTGGAGGTGAATGGATCCAAGATATTTATCATAACTGGATAGTTCAGGTCAAATTTATGGTACAAAATTCAATGACACCGAAACACATTTAATATTCAATTAATTACATGAGATACTGATCATTTGTTACAGACAAAATGGTGGATATTTTTAAAAGTATAGATTAGGATCTCATAGTTCATCATGATCATAATTCATTTGGTATTCTTCTGGCGTTGGTTGTGTGCACCGTGCAGGTGTGGCGAACTCAAACTGATATTCACAGCGGCTGGGTTCTGATGCAGACAGTAGCTGGTTCTCCATCCCACACTGCAGCAGTATCTACAACACAATCATGTACACACTGCAGCTGTATCTACAACACAATCATGGTCACACTGCAGCTGTATCTACAACACAATCATGGTCACACTGCAGCTGTATCTACAACACAATCATGGTCACACTGCAGCTGTATCTACAACACAATCATGTACCCACTGCAGATGTATCTACAACACAATCATTGTCACACTGCAGCAGTATCTACAACACAATCATGTTCAAACTGCAGCTGTACATACAACACAATCATGGTCACACTGCAGCTGTACCTACAACACAATCATGGTCACACTGCAGCTGTACATACAACACAATCATATACACACTGCAGCTGTATCTACAATACAATCATGTTCACATTGCAGCTGTATCTACAACACAATCATGTTCACACTGCAGCTGTATCTACAACACAATCATGTTCACACTGCAGGAATTTCCTCCAAAATATACTATTTTGTTCTCACCTTTACGGATCTGTCAGGGCCATTCCAACAGTTCTGGCCCTTTTCATATTTTTGTGCTGAATACCCATCATCGGATGTCCCATCCCAATGACCCCAGAGCCTGAAACATTTGAAAGAAAAGGCATCACTACATAGTCAACAATATCCTTAACTGAGGGAATGGCATCTTTTTTGATGTTACTGTTCAATTATTCCAAGACAACATGTCCTCACCCAAGGTTAGTTTCCGATCCTCCTGACTTTGGTCTCTGTGAGGCTTTGTCAAAGGGACATAACTTATAGGTGTATTCCCTCTCTGTGTACTCGAAACACTTGTTGTACAGGAAAGCATACTCATTTTCTGGTCCAAAGTCCTTCTCTAAATATTTTTTGGCATTGCTGAAAAATTGAAGAGAAAACTATAAAAATTGTTCTACACTTCAGAAACTGTGCAGAGAACACCAGCACACCTACAGCACTTCAGCAACTGTACAGAGAACACCAGCACACCTACAGCACTTCAGCAACAGATCAGAGAACACCAGCACATCTACAGCACTTCAGCAACCGTACAGAGAACACCAGGACACCTACAGCACTTCAGCAACTGTACAAAGAACATCAGCACATCTACAGCACTTCAGAAACTGTGCAGAGAACACCAGCACATCTACAGCACTTCAGCAACTGTACAGGGAACACCAGCACACCTACAGCACTTCAGCAACTGATCAGAGAACATCAGCACATCTACAGCACTTCAGCAACTGATCAGAGAACACCAGCACATCTACAGCACTTCAGCAACTGTACAGAGAACACCAGCACACCTACAGCACTTCAGCAACTGTACAGATAACACCAGCACATCTACAGCAACTGTACAGATAACACCAGCACACCTACAGCACTTCAGCAACTGTACAAAGAACACCAGCACATCTACAGCACTTCAGCAACTGTACAGATAACACCAGCACACCTAAAGCACTTCAGCAACTGTACAGATAACACCAGCACACCTACAGCACTTCAACAACTGTACAGATAACACCAGCACACCTACAGCACTTCTGCAACTGTACAGATAACACCAGCACACCTACAGCACTTCAGCAACTGTACAAAGAACATCAGCACATCTACAGCACTTCAGCAACTGTACAGATAACACCAGCACACCTAAAGCACTTCAGCAACTGTACAGATAACACCAGCACACCTACAGCACTTCAACAACTGTACAGATAACACCAGCACACCTACAGCACTTCTGCAACTGTACAGATAACACCAGCACACCTACAGCACTTCAGCAACTGTACAAAGAACACCAGCACATCTACAGCACTTCAGCAACTGTACAGATAACACCAGCACACCTAAAAAGCACTTCAGCAACTGTACAGATAACACCAGCACACCTACAGCACTTCAACAACTGTACAGATAACACCAGCACACCTACAGCACTTCTGCAACTGTACAGATAACACCAGCACACCTACAGCACTTCAGCAACCGTACAGAGAACACCAGCACACCTACAGCACTTCAGCAACTGTACAGATAACACCAGCACACCTAAAGCACTTCAGCAACTGTACAGATAACACCAGCACACCTACAGCACTTCAACAACTGTACAGATAACACCAGCACACCTACAGCACTTCTGCAACTGTACAGATAACACCAGCACACCTACAGCACTTCAGAAGCTGTCACATGAGTAGGACTTAATGATGAGAGGAACTTCAAATACAACTGCAAATAAGAGCCATACCTTATTTGTGACTCCACATCTTTGACTTTTTTGTCAGCTTCATCATACAAACGACGTGCTTCATCAGCCACTGAAAGATGTTATTTTGTATGAATGTAATATATAGATGACTGTTAACATTATGACGTGACAGGGGCAATTGTTGTATACAAACATTTCTATCATGTAACAGAAGCTACATAGATACATCATTGTTTAACACTGAATTTAGCTCTTTATCAGCTAAATGATGGCAGTATGTAAATAATCAATACTGGACCAAACAATCCAGTCTTTGACATTATGTGCATTGATCTATTCCATATGGATACGATACCATCAAATGCATCAAATGTATTGATCAGTGTAAAAGCGATGGAAAACTGTTGAGATTGGTGGATTGTTTTTACTTCCACTGGTCAAAATCAAAGGTGCCATTGTCATGTCTCAAGGTCAGGACAGCTGATGTGGCACACATAATGGCTTTAAGAAACTCATGGATGTTGGCACTTAAAGAATGGCATTTGTCTGGGCTTTTGACATGTTTAGGCCTCTGAAAAAAATCATTAATGATACAACACATTTTTTAAATCTAGAGTATAAGCTTTTACCATCGGGCTGTCGCTACACAGTGCCAATCACCAAGACTAAACGAGCTTTAACGTCTTTTGTACCTCAAAGTATTGCAGTTTGAAACAAACGTTGAATGTCCAGGAAGGTACACGAATAATTTTTGACAATGGGGTTGGAATCAATGGAATGTACAGAGGATGTTGACAATTTGAATGATAGGAAAGATTTCAGCTATAACATGGTGACAATAGAGTGATGGATATTAAAACCAACTACCCGTGTTGTCAGGTTAAGATTATACACAATCAACTTAGTAGTGTGACAATTGAATGCATTTAGCCACCTCTTACTACCAACACATGTGCTTGGGATTCTGCCGACAGGAAGTCACCATAGATGAGTAAAGTGGATGATAATCAATGTGCTCTATGACAACTCTTAAAACCCAGGTATTTACCTTCAATGAGTCTTTTTGTCTCCTCATCATAGTCTGGCATCTTCTCCTCCTCTTCCTCCTCAGCCTTCTTGTCTTCCACTGCCTGTAATAACACACACATCAAGGCTCACTGCAAGCACATTAGGTTGTGAATGTGACAAAATAAAACTTTACAATCATGTTGGCATTATTTTTAGTGACAATATATATTCATAGCAATGCTAAGAATTACAAAATACTATGAAATGAGTTGAATGCCAACTGACCATTACCTATATACCCGGCATACCTGCACATAAACAGTAAGCTCTGGATGAATACTATAGTCTAACCTTATGTAGATAGGTAATGGTCAGATGTCATTATACAACATCTGTGAAATCCTAAATACGTCATCTTAGTTTCTGGAGATACAGTGATATAAAAGGGGAATTTGTTCTCTCCTGAAACAAAAATATAGCATCAAATTTCCCTTCCAGCATAAAAGAAATTTACACATAGACCTTGGTGCTGGATTGAAAGCATAACAACCTGAACCTGAGATTATGTTTGTCAGTTGAACTTGTGCCTGCTTCTAAAAACATATACCGTATATGACAGTCTATAAGCCGAATTTTGAGGACCAAAAAAACCAGTCTGTAGAAGGGGGTCGTCTTATCCATGGGTTACGCTTTCGTCAAACTTTTTTCCAGGGGTAAGAAAACAACATCGTATCACTTCCCGTGAACAAACAACAGAAGACGACTTTGTCAGTAGAGACGTCAAATTTGCAATTAAACATCACTAGACAAAATTATTTACCTTTTAAGTTATAAGTTGTTTTTGCTGGGCATTGTATTATTTTCAGGGATTAAGATTACCGTGTGTATCTGAGCCGGAAATAGCAATCAGCTGTGCACACGTTCACAAGAACGCGAACAAGTTCAAACATGCACAATAATATAACGGGACGAATTCTGACGCAGTCATCAGTAAAATATAATACAGAATACTATTATTTAACCCAAAGAAATATATCCTAGCATTGTGTAATTTTAGTTACAGTTTTTGCTCTATAAATTAATTAAGATTAAGTTTACCGTGTGTATATGAGCCGGAAATAGCAATCAGCTGTGAAAACGAGGCGGTAATCAATTCGTGATTGTTGAATGGGGTAAAATAAGCAAGCCAGTTTGTTGCTACAATAAATATGATATTTAGAGAAGCAAAATATATTATGCATTTTCTGTCAACTACACTTCGTTTCTATCCGTGAGTAGACACAATATATATGACTGTGAATTCTTTGAATAATGTGGACCAAAGTTATAATTATTGGTAACTGCCTGTTGTCTGTGGTCTGTGTTTGCCGCGATTAGGACCCCATCACGGGGGGATCGACTTATGCACGAAACATACCATTTTGACACTGATTTTAAGGGTCAAGTTTGGGGGTCGTCTTATCCATGGGGTCGTCTTATAGACGGTCATATACGGTATTACAATCATCATTATATTAACTATTCATACGTTCTTCCACTGCAGACAAAACAGGCATGCCAGGTGATGCAAAAGGTATAGTCACGATGCAATGGCGAACACATTTTGCAGAAGTTGGAGTAGCTCTGAGCAACAAATACGTGTGCCCTTTCTAATCAACTCATGCTGAAGGATGTCAGGGTTCAGAGAAAATCAGCAAACACAGAATAAGATAAAGTGCTCTCCAAACACCCAAACATTGTCTTCAAAACCAACTTGACGGTTCACAGTGCCCGGTGAAGTAAATGCATGTTAATTTTCAGTGGCAACATATTAAGTCTGTTAGTATCAGATAAATTTGTTTACCAAGCAGAACCTCAGCTTGCGGCACTTAAATCAGATATCCCACACTCTTCAAATGAGCAACTCACAGGTCTGACAGCCAGTGTGAAAAAACAAGACATTGACACTGTTCAGGGCAAATTTCTGCACAAACATTACAATCATACCAATAACTTACCAAGAAGAATATTTCTACATTGTTCCAGGAAAAAATGGATCTATTTACATATCTATTCGCTTCAAAGTTGTTCACACAACAGAAGTCATGCACGATCTAGCCTTAACACTGTGGACATTCAAGAAAAGAAAAACTGCTGGAATTGATGCAAACACAAGCATGCAAGTACAAGAAGCCCTGACAGACAGACAGACAGACAGATAGCTGGTCTCTGGCAGCAGATGAACTGTGTCCATGTTACAGCCATGCATCCTGCATGCATCAAGACGACACTGTCAGGAGGACCAGCTTCAGTTCGGCTCACACAGTATACCTCACATCAGATATATTTGGAACATTGCAAGATGAATTGTCATTCTGCAAACAGCTGAAACTACTGAGACTTCCATGAGGGACACAGGTGCTACAGTATGGGATGGGCTACCAACTATATTACAAATGAAAGAAACCAAACCTGCAAACAGCATTGATAACAAAACTTTTAGTTCTCATATTACAACCTGTAATACAAACAAAGCATGACTAATTTTATAGTACAAGCTTTTCTCAGAAAGTCTTCAGATCAGCATATCTAGGTTGGTATGTGTATATATGTGATTTGCATCAGTACTGACTTGTGTTTTTAAAGTTGCTTCAGTACAGAGATAGCTGACAAAGATGATGGAGCGAGTGAGTAAATATGGTTTTACGCTGCTTTTAGCAACATTCCAGCAATATCATGGCAGGGGACACCAGTAATAGGCTTCACACACTGTACCCATGTGGGGAATTGAACCTGGTCTTTGGAGTGATGAGCAAACACTTTAACCACTAGGCTAACCCACTGCCCCGATAACTGAGTACCCTACTGTTTAGCATTGAAATGGACCAAATTTATCTTTATCCTGAAGGGTCAATCATATGAAAATATTTTACATTGGTTGAATGAATTTCAGTGAAAGGTGAGACACTTTGGAAGATGACCAATGGTCGACCCACCACCAGCACCCCTAAAGAAAGTATTGTGCTATCCATAACCGTGTACTGAACAATAGGTGCATTACATACAAAAACAAACCACAAGCTTCAAGGATGGGTCAGAGAAAAACCATCATTCATAATATCCCACATTCTCAACAGAAGAAATTTCAAACCAATGGAGTACTAGACTGCTATCAGACAAAATAAATCACCACCTCTAATGCCCTGTTAACCAGATATAATCACAATTCCAACACTTTACATTTCAGGTTTGTGACAGGTGATGATACTTGATGCTCTATGCCCCAAGAACAAACAAGAACCAATGCAGTTGAAACACTTGGGGTTGTGTGACCTTGACCATTTGAAACATCAGTGACATGTGCTTAAAGAGTTCCCCAAGGAAATTTGGAAAAATGATGTCTAATGTCATTCTTTGTGCGGTAGTAATTAGATAAATTACAGGTGAGGATGGCTGCAGATGCATCAGTTTCCAACAAAGTAATAAAGCAGTCTGGTTTCATGTGGCTGCTGGTGACTTGCTGACATTCAAGAAAAGAAAAACTGCTGGAATTGATGCAAACACAAGCATGCAAGTACAAGAAGCCCTGACAGACAGACAGACACATCCAATGTACTAAGTAATAAAGCAGTCTGGTTTCATGTGGCTGCTGGTGACTTGCTGATAGACAACCCCCAGGGCATATCAAGATTTGTTGGTAATTACTAAATGTTTGATGGCGACTTGTCCATGGAAAGATACAATAGCTGATAACATGGTTATAATTTTAGTTGCAAATGTAATTTCATTGGTAATAAAATCAATGCGAGTAAAGCAACTGCAGTTAGTGAAACAAACACAGTGTTACGACTGTTTTAGTACATGTACTACTATGTGTATGGCAATATTACCACTAACTTTCAACTGACTATAACATTTCAATGTGAAGTTTCACAACATGCAGTGTTTCCACTGGCTTGTCACTGCCAAATTGATAACTTTAGTGTATGAACAACACACTTCGATGTTCATACAGTTTTCACTTGGAATGCCATAAATGCTGAAAATACTTTCACATTACAAGGAAATATCCTGGGAATATATAGAAGATAAAAGATATAGAAGATTTGTTTAGAATGTCTTAATCTTGAACTGTGTTTTAGCATACATTTGGAATAATCAGAGTTTGACTTCCATATTGTGCATGACTAATATTGATATGACAAGCTCCACTAGATCTTGTCTAGAATAACAGTTACAGTATACAGCAATCTTTGAATTTATCTCACTGTCTACTTAACACATCTTTATAAGCATCTTTGTTAGCTTGTGGTTTAAACAACTGTAGCTGCAGTAGGCAAATACCAGCATACATATTAAGCAGTAGCTGTTCCACACACACAGTTTAATCATACAACTAACGTAAAGGTTTCAGAGCTGTGGTTGCGTGTAAGCATAACAAAGCAGCCATTCTTATTCTCCAGCTGTGAAGGAGCAGAAGTGGCATTATCCGCAAGAGCCTTGTTAACTTGGAGCTAGTTTCAAGTCTTACTATGACACTAGGGTACATCTGGCACATCACCACAATAGAAGGATGTTAGGCAAGCAGACAGAAAGGGCATTCTCTACTCACAGGAATATTATAATCATCTTCTTCATCATCATCTTCACTTCCATCATCATCATCATCATCCTCAAAGTCATCAGGTGACCCTCCCTCTGTTACGTCCTCTAGGGGAGGGGGCACCTGCTTTCGGTCAGGGTTAATACTGGGGGGGTTTACCTACAATGAATGACAGGGATGGAGGAGATTCACCCAGGTCACACCAGGCGTGCACAGGGTCATGTCATGTGTAGAAGGCACAGGGTGCAGGTTGGATGCTTTATGCTTCCTGACCTCAGGATGAAGATGGATAATATCACCAGTTGAAAGGCAAAACAAAATTACTTGAGTTTTAACATTCCTACAGAATAGACCGATCCAGTCTGTCAATCAAAACTGGCGCATGCGTCAATTTTGGCCAATCAGCAGGCCGGACGCGCTGTGTAGATTTGTCAGACTTATTTCCGGGGTCAAACGATGCCTCCGAAGCGATGTGCTTCGAATTATGCCATTTACACTCGCTATATTTATTACGTGTTGCTGCGATTTGATGTGTACCTTTAACAAAACCATTACGGTCAAGACAACACAAATGGAGGCGGATCAAGAAGCGCAAAAGGTCTAACGATCAGTTAAATGTCTGCACCATCGTTCAGGAAACCTACGTCTGCCTGCTGAAGAGAATTTGCACGAATTTCCACACTTTTGCACATGTGCAAAATCATTACCAATTGATGACAACAAATAGCAGTTTAAGACTTTGCAAGTGTTATAAACACAGACAATTCTTGTAACTACAAAATTGTTTTTGCTTAACGTTTTTAGTCACTACTAGGCATTGAGTTGGTACGCCATAAAGCTCAAATGAGAGAGGCGAGAAAGCCAGGACACACGGCGATCTGATTTCGGTTAGGGTCAACCGAAATAGCAAAACTTGTTACATGAAAGAACAATATGGCGGATATTGTCCCCCTTCGCTCTTAGATATTCTTCAATTTGTCACACATTTTAGGATGTTTTAAATTTCATAAGCACAATCTGAAGGCCTACAGTATTTTGTTTACAGAGCAAAATATTCGAGGAGTAATATTTTTTATTCAAACGGAAATATTGTCAGTGTCAGCAGTTGCCTATCATACAATATCCAAGTATCAAAATTAATTCATATGAGTGCCTATAAAACCATGCTTTAAATATTTCAGAATTTTGATAAAGAGATGCATGGGAATTACCTTCCTCCATGTTTTGTTACCACATTAATTATTCACATATATTGGTACATTTTAGAAGTAATATTACAACTGTAATTTTGATTAATTCACTGGGAATGATAGCAAGGTATGTTTTAAGAATCTTGTTTTTTTCAGTAAACGTGGAAGGGTAATAAAATAAATAATAATCTAATCAATAATAAATTGATTGACATATCAGATTCTTATGATTTTAAGGCAGAACTGGGGAAACAAACACCATACATATCATGGCAGGACAATCACTTGGTATTAACTTAGTTTTTTGGCTCCTGCTTTTAGATGTGTTTTTTTTAAATACTATATTTACTAATATAAGTAATTGCTAGTATCATAACTCATTAAAGTTATTTCAACATCCAGAGAATTTGAAAAAGCAAAGGTAGCTGGTCAAACCCTGGTCAGGCATTATCCAGTCCTGGAACAAAATAACTTACATAAATCTCAGTTGACTTTTCATGTAACGGAATAAATATTGAAACATATATTTAACCCATATTTGATTTAATTCTTCTGATAAATCATCAGTGTTTTTAGGAGGTTACTAATATTTAAAGACTGAGCCAAAGCTAGTGTTTATTAAGATGATGGATTTGGACAAATTGTTCAAGATTTGTTGATGGTTATGTGGAAAATGAGCTTCATATTAAATTGCACACTGGTTTGTAGGAAGTGAACGCTTCAGGACATTTTCATGTGTGTCTTCCTAAACCTTTATGACTTTTACCAAATTTTGAACCAACTTTACTATAATTTTTATGACACCAGTAAGTATCTCAGAAAAGGAAATAGATCAAAATCAGTGTTATGTCCTCTAGGGATATGGTCTCAGATCTAATAAAACAAAAATTATCATTGTTTAAGAAGCAATAATGTCAATATGTAATTGTATTGACGAAAAGCTTTGAACATAGGATATATTCTTTGCACCTTATTTACACTAGTAGTTAGCAGTTAAACATCTCTGATGACAAAAACAATAGATCTTAATTTGTATTTTGTGTAACATTCTATTTCAATGCTAGTTAATTGTTCGGATAACTGTGGATCCTCTGTTCAAAGATTTTGCATCACATGTTTCCTATTTCTGGAAGATGGGTCAGCTAGAGTACAGGTGCAGACTGTATGTTGGATCTTCTTTGTGTTCTAATGCTGTGACATACCTGTACATAAACACTGGCAGTTCATGAAGTCCAGTATTGTGGAAGTTTGTATGTAAATTAGGATTCAGCAACAAAGTGCATATAGAAAAATTAAATGGAAATGATGATTAAAACAATGATTTCCTTACATTCAGTGTCATTTTATCATGGTGTACAGATTTTGAAGAGAGAAACTTTACTGAGAATTGCTGCAGATCAGCTGTTGAATATTTGCTTCTGGGTATGTCCAGATACGTCCATGGAAACATACTGTTTACAAGCCCAATGTACCTTTTCCAGATTTCCAAATAAGATCAAATAGGTTATGCTGTGATTGATTTGTTTACATTAATTATATACAGACAAATAAGATGCACGAAGTAGTAGATGGGAAATATTTTCTGCTTTTTATTTACCATTCTCTTATTCAAAGATAGAAACCCATGTTTTCAGATTATTGAACTAAATTTGAACAACGCCAACGGATAACTAAGTAAAGGCGCCACGCGCAGTGTTGAATCTATTTATAGATACCGAAACGATCTGCAACATGAACATGTGGTTGTGTTCACGGTTTTTATAAAATTATAAAACCCAAACAACAAAATTCAGTTACCCTTCCCCTGCTAATATCTGTGATGGAGGTGAATTGCCAGATAGATTAATTGATTCGAAAGAAATTACGCTTCCTACAGTCTCAGGCTCAGCAGCTAGTCGAGACGATTTTTCATCGGGCATGTAACTCATTTTCACTCGCCAATTGCAATCTGCCAGCTACAATATAATCAAAATCACATACGTATGTGTGTGTGTGTGTGTGTGTGTGTGTGTGTGTGTGTGTGTGTGTGTGTGTGTGTGTGTGTGTGTGTGTGTGTGTGAGAGAGAGAGAGAGAGAGAGAGAGAGAGAGAGAGAGAGAGAGAGAGAGAGAGAGAGAGAGAGAGAGAGAGAGAGAGAGAGAGAGAGAGAGAGAGAGAGAGAGAGAGAGAGAGAGAGAGAGAGAGAGAGAGAGAGAATGATGATGATTGGGGTCACCCATTTTGTTCTGGGGAGCTAGGGGTCATCAATTTTGTACACACGCACTAAGGGGGGGGTCAGCAATTTTGTACATAAAAATATGTTTAAAATTATGCTTAGAAATTATGGGAAGGGGAGGGGGGTAATTGATTTTGTACTTGACATGCAGGGGTCACTTATTTTGTACATATATTTTAGGGGGGGTCATCCACATTGTACATGCTTCTCCACAAAAATCATTATCAGCCCCCTAGCCATAAATTATGAACGGTCCCTTTAGAAATATTAAGGCAAAACATCTAAATGTATTTATGATGAACTACCAGTTTTATTTGTACTTGTTGCATCCCAGTCCTCAATACAAAAGAGAAATATGATTAACATAACCAGTTTCCATGGTTACATTGGTAAACATCTGATGTGTTGCACCCATTGTAGAGTCTTCACTTGTACTTCTCTGTAAGTTGATTAAGAGTCTCATATGATGTCTCAGCAATTATGTGTAGTACAACAACAGCAGATTTGGAATTGTCTGGAATATCCTGTTTAATGTGTACATTCCTTTTTCCAGATATCAAAAATACTTGATCCACGTCCAGCTTGATGACAACATAACCATAGAAGCACACGTAGTACTTCTACCAGTGGGTGGGCATTTTGAAATCAAGACATACAACTATATGTTACGAAATGCAGGGTTGCTTCAACTACATTATTCAAAGTGTGGGTGGCGATACATTTGGGCTAGAAAACATCATAGAAATCAACAAAGAATAGAGTATCTTAAGTTTTTATGGGGACAACAAACAGCTTGAAATTCAAATTTTGGGGCAACAAGAGCTGTGTGATGTCACTGCCTGTCTGCCATACATGGGAGCAATATGGCAATACAGAATTGTATCATGATACAATCTACAACTCCTGTAACATTATACACATGATATGTTACAAGTTATAAATAATGATGTAAAAACATGGGAACAATAACAAAAACTGTTCAAGAACCAGTTTATGCAGATTCACTAGTATTTGCTTGTTGGCCATAAATAGCTCAATCGACACAGTGCCTCCAAGCTTACATATTTCTCCCTTACAATATACCATCTTTGCTATCTGATTATATTGGAAAACAAATGATTCTGGGTATTGAGGTGAAAACATAAAGCTATGAAATAGAACCATAGTATTGGGATATAAAAATCAAATCATACCCATATGTTGAGGAAACATATTGTATTGTGGCCTCATGGCATTGTTACACTTCTAATCTCTACCCTGCTTCATTGTTCATTGAACACACACATTTTGTGTTCTCAATGCAATTGCTATGTGATAATGGGAAATGATACATGGGCCTAGGACCAAATTATACCTGTCTGTGTGAGCTGGATACACTGAAGAAGTGTCTGGAGAATAACAGCAACAAGTACACTTGTTGACAGGAAATAGTCAATCAAGTGAGGTACATTGTTCATGAGGACTCAACTGGTTCTGAATATGGACATAGGAACAACAGAGGCTCTTACAAACTTGATCAATGCTGTACTTATGCTAAATAATGCCTTACATGGAATTACTCAAATATACAATAACAATACATACAACAAACCAAAATGGAAGTGTTGCTAACATTAAGCAGCACACGTGTCTGTTTCCATAGACTGTCTTTTCTTAATAAAATGCAAACAATGATAGTTCATCTACACACCATACCAGCTACAGCTTGGAATCTATACAGGTGAATTATCCCTCACTAACTTGTATTACCAAACA